CACTTAGTCCTAGCTCTTGCCATTTAGGAGAAAACAGAGCTTTTTATGTGTTTTTTGAGTGTCTAGCTGTTAGGAAACATTGAATTGAAATGGAACAGAAAGTAATTAGGAATTAGGATTAATGATGTGTTTTTATCACAATGATAATGATGAAGAAGGCTTTCATGTCTTTTGCACAAACAAGAGATCACAAGCAAGTCCTTGTTTTGGGTGGGACAAAAAAATAGAAATTCTTGTCCCATTGACTTAATCTCCATGCAATGCAAGTTGAATGCATTACAAGGTTATTCTTGTGCAACAAACAGGTCCTAAAGGAATGTAATGTGGGGAGGAGATACTCTGTCTTAACAGTTTCTTTTGTATATTCTTGACAATCAAATAGAGTGAGACGTGAGGTACATGATATTTGCTGTGAAGTTGTGATGAAAGACCATAGATGTCGAGTCTAGTCACTAGTGGTGAAATTGAAGATCAAAAGAAGTTAAATGCTTCTTGTATGTTTGTGTAGTCTATCCAAATACAATTCTATTTAGTGATAACTTATAATTCTCCATTTTGAAGCCGAAGTGCTCCATCTTTCAATAATAAAGGGGAAAAGTTAATCTGTTAATGAGATGGATGTACATGGATAGAGCCATATAGGGATGGTGTGGGGTAGGTAGGGAAAAGAGTTACAGTAATATGGTGATCAATAGTTTGTGTAGATTTGAGGTTTTTGAGGTCAATGTTATATGTCTAGTGCTGTTAGCACTATTTAGTTCTTTTGTAGCTATAAGCAGAGTACAGTTAAGTAAATTCATTGTGTGTGTGCTGAAACATGTTATAATCAATTAATGATTACAAAATTATATATGAAGTTAATAAGTGCGGTTATAATTATTAAGAACAACATGGAGTGGCTCTTGTCCAAAAGACCTGAATGCCCTCCTTGTCCTTGTCGCCAACAATAGCCCAAAAAGCTTACCCTAATTATTACTATAAAGATATAAAAATTTAGCAGATGAAGTTTGTATATTTTTAATATTGCCATTGTGCAGATATCTTGGGCCTTTTCTATCTATTTGGAAGCTGTTGCTATTCTCCCACAGTTGGTTCTGCTGCAACGAAGTGGAAATGTTGACAATTTGACCGGTCAATATGTTTTCTTTCTTGGGTATTCTCCCTTCTCTTTCTTTCCCCCCTCTTCCATATGATTATATATATATATATATATATATATATTAAATACTAATAATAATAATAGTTTAGTGGCTAAGTTGTTTGCGTTGTATTGTTAGGGCATACCGTGCATTATATATTCTCAACTGGATTTATCGGTATCTCACACAGCCCCATTTCAATGGATGGATATGTAAGTTAAAGCTTTTCACTTATTCCTTATTGCCTATAAAATTTATTTCATTTAACTGTTGTTTTGTTTTGTTTGTTTTCAGCCTGTTTCTCTGGCTTAATACAAACAGCTCTTTATGCTGATTTCTTCTACTATTACTTCATAAGGTACTCAACCACCATTCCCATTCTTTATGTTCTGTATTTAACTTTAAGCATAATCATAATACCACAAGCTTTATGAGGAAGGGCATTTACGTCTTTACTTTTCGCCTGGGTGTGAGTGGGAGTGTGACAAAAATTGCAATAAGTTCTTAGCAAATTAAGCTTGTTAACATGATAACATCCCCTTCCTTAGCTTATTATTAGCTAAACCTAATCAGATACTTTCTTGTATGTACAGTTGGAAAAGCAATTCCAAGCTTCAATTGCCAGCATGAGCATCACCTACCTGGCTTGGTGTTTACTTTTCATTAAGTGAAGGTATCTTTTAATTCCAGATGCACCATGAACATGCATATTACTTTATTAAAAAAAATGTAGCTTATGTTTTTTATGTAAACATGTACACATGCTTTTATTTGGATTCATTTCTAACTTGTTTATGTTTTCTTTTTGGTGGAAGTATAGTTGTAAGGATCATGAATGTTGATGGTTTAGCAGTCGAGGCCAAATGACTAATTTTCTCCCATATGGTGTTTGATCGTCTTTAAATAATTTTGTTAAATAGTAACCAAGTTTTAGTTTTGTTATGCTGTGAAAATGTTAAAAACATATTAAAGGACGATACCACTCAAGTTTCTTTAGTGTTTCATTTTTAAACATTGATTTGTAACCACCCGAAACTTTTCATTTTTTACTTCCCTTTATTAATTGTCTTAAAAGTGTTAGAACCAAGGTTCTAAAAAGTTTGTCATGCTTCCAAAGCTTTTTACTTGACGCCATGTTTTAACAAAAATGTTGCTTTAATTCATATATGTATATTGTTTTAGCAATGCACATTACTTTTACTCCAAAAGAATTGTACACTAGGTTAAAAGAATTCTAATATGTTGTTCTATGTGAAGTCTTTGTTTTTTCGGAGATTGTGCATGCGGTAACCAAAACAATTCTATAATATGTCTAATCTGGTTAAAGGGTATTTTTGTTTTTTTATCATTAATTTGTTCTTCTCTATTTATCATGTGTCTTTATCCCCATATTTTAATGAATTAGACCAAACTAATCTTGATACGAATACGATTCTTTTTGGATTTTCCATTTTTATGAATGCAGTGGAAAATAAGAAACAAGAACAAGAACGATAAAAAAAAACAAACAAAAAAAGGATTAATTTGATGGACAACCTAGACCAATGGATTGAATATTGGGTGAAAACAAGTTAAAACTTGTTAACTTGAATTCTTATCAAGATCAGGAAATCATCAGTCATCTGATGACAAGCTGATACCTATTAATTTGAAATCGAGCCACGAATGAGAAATGCATCCCAAATAATGACAATTTGAATTATACGCAATAATTCAAGAAAGCAAGCATAAACGTTTAAAATTCAACTTCAATCATCGATATTGATTACAGTGTTTTAAGGAGCTATTTATAGTCTTACAAGCTATTACAAAAGAAATGAAACTAATTAATGAAAATAAAACAACCTAATAAAAGCTTAAAAGAAAAGAAAATAGAATCGTTCCCAAAAATAAGGTAGAGTATAGAATCTTCGTCCTTCGGAAACCATGTAAAAATCCACATGTTTGGAGCCACTCCTAACCAACTTTTGCATCCATCATAAGATGTTTGCATCTAATAGTTGTTCGCATTCACCACTTGTTGGCATCTAACAACTTGTCTACACCTATCTAACCCATCATATCCAAACATCCCATTGCAACTGATGAGTCCATCGGAACTAAGTAGCTTTCGCATCCACCAACAAATAACCCATCACCAAACAACAGCCCATTGGATCACATTCCAAGAGTCCGATTCGCATCCATTTACTAAGGACTGTCATGGCTTGCGATCGTTCACATCCAATCGCATCCAATCACACACCAAGGCTTGCATTCGCATCTGAAAACACTAGATTACTATTCATTGCGACTGTTCACACTCAATTGCAACCAATCGCAACTAAGGCTTGAACTAGGAACTTGGCTTACTTCGAAATGGGAACTCATATTTGTATCATTCCCTCCCTCTTCGAAAGAAAGTGTCCTCAATTCCGTAAGGACTTCATAACATTTTTCTTCCATATAAGCCTCGATATGAATCTTCTGAATTTGCCTCTTCTTTCACTTGCTTCAATAAATTCCTTTTCGGCCACAAAATTTATTTTTTCAAAAACTTCCTCTTCCTCACCAATGTCGTAGATGGGAACGGAATCTTCTTCCTCCTTTTCTTCTTCTTCCTCGTAAATACCTTCTTCAATTTCTTCTTCCCCATTGGAATCATAGAGGTAACAAAAATCTTCATCATTAGAATCAGTGTCATCGAAATAATCCTCATCTTCACCTAACATGTACCGAAAAGAGTGGGAAGATTTAAATAAAAATCGAGTAATATAAATTCAATCCCATGAGACTAGATCTCATTAGCGACATTCTGAACCGACTTCTAAAAAAAACCTTAACAACGAAATCAACAAACTCAGCAAGAACATTTTTGTTTTTTAACATGACAACAAAAATCGAAATTGAAATATTCATACAAACATGATAGGGATTTTTTTATCTCTGAAACCACATATGGTACAAAATGGGTGGGGCGATTTCTTTTTGGATTTTCTGTTTTTATCAACGTAGAGGAAATAAGAAACAAGAACAAGAACGGTAAGAAAATAACAAAAAAAAGGATAGTTTTGATAGACAACCTAGACTTGTATTTTTTTTTAGTAGACCTAGACCTATTGATTGAATATTGGGTGAAAACAAGTTAATACATATTAACTTGAATTCTTATCAAGATCAGGAAATCATCCGTCAAATGATATGTGATGACAAGCCAAGACCTACTAACTTGAAATCGAGCCACAAATGAGAAATGCGTCCCAAACAATGACGACAATCCAAATTATACGCAATAATTCAAGAAAGCAAGAACAAACGTTCAAAATTCAACTTCAATAATCTGTATCGATTATAATGCTCTAAGTGGCAATAATTCAAGAAAGTAAGAACAAACGTTCAAAATTCAACTTCAATAATCTATATCGCTTATAATGCTTTAAGTGACTATTTATAGCCTTACAAGCTATTACAAAAGAAAGGAAACTAATTAATGAAAATGAAACTACCTAATAAAAGCTTAAAATTAAATTAAATTAAGTTAAATTAAATTCGTTCCCAAAAGTAAGGTATAGTCTAGAATATTCGTCCTTAAGAAATCATGCAAAAGTCCACGTGTTTGGAGCTGCTCCCAACCAACTTTCACATCCATCATCAGACGTTCACATCCAATAATTGTTCGCATTCACCACTCATTGACATGTAACAACTTGTTCTCACCCATGTAACTCATCACATCTAATCATCCCATTAGAACGGTGTAGTCTGTTGGAACCAAGTAGCTTTTGCATCCATGTTGCTCTCGCATCCAAGTAGTTTTTGGAACCAACAAGTAACCCAACACCAACCAACAACCCATCAAATCGCATTCCAAGAGTCTGATTCTCATTGGTGAACATCTGGATCATACCAACAATCTAAAGAATTAGGACTAACAAATAGAATACCATAAATAGTTTCTACACCTACAATTTAAAATCATAAATGAATGTAAAATAAACTATTCAGACATAAAAAAATCTTGTTAAACACTATCATATATGAATAAAAAATATTTATAAACTAGTTACCTCCACCTTTATTTTTATTTGAATCATCTTCTACCCCTTTTTCCAAATCAGTACCACCTTCACCTTCTACCACACCTTGTCCATCATTCTTTGCTTTATCATTTTGAACTTTATCTTCAGCACAACCTTTAACCAAACTTGGTACAATTAATTCATTTTCTTTCTTCTTTTCTCTAATAACTTTATTGAGAGTATCATCTAAAATTCCTTCTTTGTTTTTATCATCATCACCAAATTTATAGTTCCTAAATTATTAAAATCATAAATGAATCATCTATATAATTTATTCATATATATATATATATATATATATATATATATATATATATATATATATATATATATAGTGTATAAACAATACACACATAAATAGTTACCAGTCAAAATGTCATTCATATCATCTTCAGCTGCTTTCTGACTTATACCACACCCAACCAAATTCTCATTACCTATAATATTCAAAAACACAAAATTAAAATATATAAGAATAAATTATATATATAACAAAAAAAGATGTTTAGCTCGATCCAAATCATTAAGAAAATTTTCAACAGTTGGGTCACACATGAATTGACTAAAACTTATACCTTTCAGGATATCATTAACATCACCTTCAAAACCATCAACTAGACCAACATTCTTAACAACATTTTCAACAATCAAATTCAAATTCCTAACCTCATCTTCACTTAATCCACTTGTATTTCCTTGTTCAACATCTTCATTACCAAAATTTCCTTTACCAACAATAGCATCACTTTTATCATCATCCTTCTCATTCAACAAATCATTAATTTTACTAAAGTGTTCCTCATGTGCATGATCATTAACATCACCTTCAAGACCATGAACTTTACCTTGAACATCATTTTTATCATTTTGGTCCTCAAATGACATCCTCTTCAGCACCATCACCTTTCCCTTGATCATCATCATTAACATTTTCATCATCATTTAGAAAATCATTCATATTATCTTCACCGTCATCTTCAACATCATTAACTTCTATGTCTTCATCTTCATTAACTTATGTGCCTTCCTATTCATTATTATAATGATCAAAAGTAGGTGTCGGGATTGGTTGTTCACAATGTAGTGAATAATGACCGAAATTGAATTTTTATGCACTTAAATCTTCATCTAACAACAATAATTTCCAATGTTTCAAATTTTGACTTTCAGAAAACTTTAACACTCCATCATTTGTTTTTACAACAAGCTCCTTTCTCAAATCCTCAATTTTCTGGTACATATCTGAAATATTAGTTTAATACTCCTACATAAGAAAAAAGATACTTAGAAATGAATACGTAATCATAAAAAATAATAAATGAATACACTAATAAAATCATAAATAAATAAAACTATAAAATTACCTCCACATCACTAACTTTATTAACATCAAAATCTTCTTCATTCTCATCAGATAAGTGCTCATCCCTATTAGATTCCTCCGCACCGCCATCAGATTCTTAACATTCTTCTTCACATTGTTGTGATATGTCGGAGAATGGATGGGTCGAGATTTCCAGTGAATCTTCAGAAACGAATTCCATAATATCACAGTACAAGATAGGATAGAGATCGTTAGTCGACATCCGGGAGGAGATCCCGGGACGAAGCTCCGACGATCTAGTTAGTATGAGATTTGAGAGAGATGGTAAGTGATTACAAAAAAGAGAGAATTATGTCCCCTTGTTTGTGAGGAAGAAGGATCCTTTTATACCTGTCTTAGAGGAGTGTCTCCCAACTGATTCTGTTGAGGATTCTCCTGTGAGGTGCGACGTGGCGGACCCATATTGGAGGGTCCTCAGTCACGTCTTTTGCCTCCTTCTCCCATTGGCTGGAAGGAGATCTTCCAAATGTTCACGAAGATTGTTGCTATTGTCTGATGAGCGAGTGAGACTCTCTGATTGGTCCCACGTTTGCCAAGGTATGATTTCCCGGAGAAGGGGTTAAGGCGCGACATAATTCTTAAACTCCACCTTCGAACTCTCAAAATTAAAATGATCAAGAACATAATAAACAATCTTTAAAGGTACATAAATCATCTTCGTCCGTAACAAACTCTCAAATCCTATAGCCCTAACACATTCCTTCTATTATCTACTTGAAACCTGAATAACACCTAATAATGACCCATGTAAGCATTTGTTCTTCAATGAAGGAAATTCTTTTATCACAATAACTTTTTTCTCTTTCTTCACAACTTTAGCTTCTCTCTTTGGTTTCTTTGAAGATCTAATACGGATCTTAAAATCAGAATCAACTTCATCAAATAGTTCACATTTCTTACTTATAGTTTTGACCTTATCCAAAACTAATTTCTTTCCCTTAACTGTCAGATTCTCTTTTGGTTGTTTAATAACTTTTTTTTTTATTTCTTTGATCGGGTCTCCGTCACTTCCTTGGCCTTTTCTTTTCTGGAAGATGATCTTGTCTACCTTGAGCTTTTTATTGATACCTTCTTTGTAATATTACTTTTTTTAACTATAATTTTTCTACACACATAGTATTAGTAAAACGTAAAGCAAAATACATATAGTCAGTTCCAGATGAAGAAACATAATCACTTATGATTGCAAAAACATATCATTGTCATTTTTAATCTTGGACCTTTTCTCTAAAACATTTGGACTTTGCTTTTCATAAACATGAGGATTTACTACAAACAAATTAACATAACTAGTTATTAATACAGAACAAAAATGCATATGATTTTAACTCACACAATCACTAATGATTATAAAAACATACATTTATCATTACTATTTTTTGACATTTTCTCTTTATATTGTGGAGAATCATCTTCAGATTCATATTGGTTTCGTAGATAAACAAACGTATATAATCATTTATGATTAGAAGTATAAATAACATAAAACTAAAACTATAAAATATCATTCCACTTAAAAAATTACAAAATCCATGATGATTATAACACATACATTTATCATTTCTTTTCTTTGACATTTTTTCTTTACCTTCACGATAAATAACTTCATTTTCACATTATGGACAAATATGAACTTCATTAGTTATGAATAACAAAAAGAAATAAAAGAATATACGACAAAAAAACATAACAAAAACCTCTTTAAACATTGAAATTTTGAACTGTACCTTTCAAAATACCTCCACTTCTACCGCCTTTAAGATTGTTTTCATTTTTGAACTTTTTTTCCGAACATATTTTATTTTGAAATCCTTATCTGTGAAAATATAAACAACTACTGTAACACCTGTTCCAGGTATTATTTAAATTTTCAAGTTTTAGGGTTTTAGGATTGGACTTGATGAGTTGGGAAGCTCCAACTCATCGAGTAGAATAATTTATGAGGACGCGGGATTCAGATCCTACTCGAAGATTCAGAAGGCCCCGAATCGATGCATAGTCAATGTAACAAGAAACCCTAATTTCCAGGGATTTTTACCCTGTTTAAAGAACTTATGGCTCATTTGCAGCCTCTTCCATCGTTCCTACAGCCAATGAAACCCTAGTTTGAGCCTTGCACCTTCTTGAGAGAGAAAGAGAGCTTTTGAGAGTGAGTGGTGGTGTGTTTGTGAAGATTTTTGAGTATGAAGAAGAAGCAAAGAGGGAAGTAGTAGATCTAACATCCACCTTGCATTGGTGACCATATTGAGGTATAAAGTCACTATCTTGACCTTTAGTTGCTTAGATCTCTTTTCATGGATGTAAATGGTCACTTTTGGTGCCAAAAGGGTGTCACCTTCAAATCTCGACTTGTCACAAGGATATGGTTCCATATCTGTATCCCTCTAGGCCTTCAATGACATAAAGTTGCTCACTTTATTCAACTTAGGCCCTTTCCATGCATTAAGACCTTGTAGGAACCTTAGTTTCGTGTTTTACCCTAGTGAGGCCTTGCATGCACGTAAAGTTTGCAATTTTACGTGTTAACTACACTAGGAGAGGTTGGATCTGAAGTTTGGGACCTTGGATCTCACAGGGAAGGACTGAACACAAAAAGGACTAAAGGAACTCGTCGAGTTCCTTAGGCAACTCGATGAGTTGAGTAGGGTTTACCCGCTTTCAAGATTTCCAAATGATTTCTATGAAGGATTGGGGTTTTCGGGCTGCATGGGTCTTCGGTCTACTGTACCTTAAGAACTCAACGAGTTACATAGGTAACTCAACGAGTTTAGGAGTTACTCAGGAACTCGACGAGTTGATGGATGCACTCGACGAATTGAGGTCAACATTGACTAATTACCTTGACTTTGGATTACAAATAATGTTAAGTATGAAAGGGGTCTTTCAATCATGATATCATAGCAGTAGTTTAAGTGAAGTAAATACCATGGATTGGTATGTAGACTTAAACCGTTAGAAGTTCATTATATGAACGGATTCATTGTAAGTATATGGATACAAACCATAGGAAAGACTTAAGTAAAGTATTAGGTAAAGATAAATCCTAATATTATAACATACTGTATTACTCTAAAATTTCAGAGCAGTGGCTGAACAGGTGAGTAGCCATACACCAGATGTGGGTGGAGATCCTCATTCTGACAAAATAAATACTCCAGTATCCCATCGTGATGAGTGACTTGTGGATAAACTTACTGGTGTTATTAGGCAAACTCTCAAAGAACATAAGAAGAATAATGATAAAGGCAAAGAGAAAGCCATCGAAGAATCTTCAAAAGGGGAAGTGAAACGTCCCTCATTCAAAACTTTCAAAAGTAATGGTGCTACAGAGTTTTTAAGTTTTCTTAATCCCATTGTTGTTCTTACATGTATCCAGAACACAGAAAAAGTATTCCTAATTTCTCATGTGGTTAATGAAGACAAAGCTAATTATGCTTCTACAATGCTCACCGGAGAAGCCGTGGTCTGGTGGGAAGCAACATTTGAAGCTCTCAATGAGTATAACCAGGATAATTTATCTTGGAAAATGTTCAAAACTCGTTTGCTAGGAAAGTATTATCCTCTAGACATGAGGAGAATATTGGAGAAAGAATTCCTCGAGCTTAAACAAGGAGGAATGACTGTGAATGATTATGAAACTCAATTCAATCAGAAAGCACGGTTTGCTGCAAAGTATATTCCAACTAAAGACAATAAATCTAGTTATTCATAGAAGGACAACAATATGAAATTCGCGATTTTGTGGTTAATCGGGATGTTCTGTCATTTGATAAAGCGGTTGAGTATGCTCGCAAGAGCGAGCATGACTTAAAGATACGTGGTGCCACTCTTTCTATTCGGAAGCATCCACGTATTGATCGAACTGTTCCTGTTTCCTCTATTCCACTAACTCAATTTGTTCGATCTGAACCTAGCAAACAAGTGCAATCTCATAATACGTCTCGTGGATGCGGTAGGTCACAATCTTTTTTTCTTCAGTCGCCATCATGTCGAAATTATTGAAAGAATCATCCGGGTGAATGCAGATTAGAAAAAGGATCAGTGGTCTGTTATGGATGTGGAGAAATAGCCCACATAAAGTCCGTTTTCCAGATGAAGAATGTTACATGCTTTGCTTGTGGTCTTACTAGCCATAAGAAGCATTTCTACCCAACTCTTACTAGTCAAATGGCGGGGAGTTAAGCTTCTGGTCAACAACCAAAGAGTACTCCAACTAAAAAGGAGGAGGTGCCAAAAGCTAAAGGTCGTGCATTTCAGATTACCACGAAGGAGGCATGTGAAGATCTGAATGTTGTGACCGGTACATTTCTAGTCAACTCTAGACCTTCTCACATCTTATTTGATTCTGGTGCCTCATATTCTTTTGTGTCTCATGAATTTGTGCATTCCTTTCAAATTACTTGTTATGCACTTGTGCAACCATTTCATGTAGATACCGCGGGAAGTATATTTACTTGCTGATAAAGTCTATAAGGATTGTGTCATAGAACTTGAAGGTTATAATTTTCTTGCTAACCTGATTCCTATTTCCTTTCCCAACTTTGAT